TTGTAAATATATTAGCAATTATTTTTTATTTGTGCAACCTAATTAGCTAATCCAATACCAATACAATCTAAATCTCACAACCCATTATTTTTTCAATTTTCCCAAACCCAATTGTTAAGTCCAACCCATTCTTTTTGTCAATCTAGTCTTCCTAAACCTAATTGCCCAGCCCAATTTGCATTGGTAATCCTAGAAGGACCATCCAAAGATTTTAGATTTACGATTCCTCCTCTCCAATCTCCTCTGTGCTGTAACTTTGTTTTTGTTCCTTAATCCTTATCTGTGATTCCCTTCAAGCTCTCACCATCACTACTCATTATGCAACTGTTGCAATGCTAATCTTCTCTCATCTCTCACTCACTCGACCCGACAACTCTTCTCCAATCTCTCAACCAACCATTGGCAACTCATCTCATTCTAGGTATCTCTCGTTATTACCACTGAAATTAAGAGTAACTGGCTACTTGCCTGAGTTACCTCCACTCACGGCTCACCTCCAGTTCCAAGGCTTAAGTCATCCTCCTTACCTCATGTGATAGCAAGTCCTCTAAATCTTTATTGCTTATTTATGACAGTAGGTCCTCTGAATCTTTACTACTTGTTTGTCTTGTTTCAAATTTTTACTTTATATGATTATTTGAGTTAGTTTTATTTGATCAATGTAGAAACCAGTGGAGTCTAAGTAGACCCATGTTGAGCTTAGTTTTGTTTAACAAGCAACGAAAATTTTGATTACTAAGTAGCGGAACAAGTGATAGTTTTATTTGGCAAGGACTCCAAATAATCGTGGGGATCTATCATTCCCAGTGAGCATGGAGACGGAGGCAATTTTTGACCCTTTGCCAAAAATCCCCTTAAGGATCTCCATACCCGCCATTGACGAGATGGGGTCCCCGCCCTTGTGGGAACCTGTTGCCATCTCTACTTCTACTTACACTCTATCAAAAATGGCAAGAAATTACCCCTAATCAATATTGATTGTCAATTGCTCCACATGTCCTTTTGCTCTTTCCCATTCAAAACTGCAAGAAACTACCCCTATATCTTCTAGCAATTTATATGGGTCGTAATTAGAGTTTGGAGGCAAGGAGGAGGAGGCAACTTGAACCAACTCTACGATAAAGAATCCATCATACAATTTTCAAATTCTTTGCATTTTCCAATCCAGAAGGTAATTAAATTGAATTCGAAGGTGGGTTTTTGAATTTGATATGTGGGTTTCGAATTTTGATTGCTGATCTGAGTTCTTCATTGTGACCCATTCAAGCAAGAAGCAACAACTGATTTACTCCTTTTAAATTGTTGAAACTAAACATCACTTACACTCATCAACAAATTCTCTACCAAAGGATGTGAAAGTTTAGCCCAAATGGCATAGCTCAGTTGTTCCAATGATGCATTTCATTGAATTAAGTAGGAAGCTTTGTACATGCGACCTCTAGCAAAAATATACTGGCATGGTTGTTATTAAAATAATTAACTTTATTTTTATGAAGTTTTTCAAAGAACTTAACTGTGCATAAATATCCTATTTACACTAAAAACAAAGGTACTTGATTCTATTACCGTTACCCTTACGAAACAGAGTGAGAAACAACTTTTAGACTTCTTTATTTACATGGGACTTGGAGGTTTGAATCAAAAACCATTTCGAACCATAAACATTAATATTTATTTACATAGGTTTATTTAGTGGCCATGCAACCTTCAATTTGAACTTAGCACTGTAAACTGATGAATATGAAGATTTCTCTCTATATATCTTTTACTTTATGTGGATGGATACATATATATACATGAAGAAGAGAAACTAAGTCAAGCCTAAACTTAAGCCTAAGGAAAAGGTAATTGCAGATTATGTACGATATATCCGGGATTTGATAGTAAATTCCTAATACTCCCTCTCAAGCTGGTGCATGAAGTTCACAAATGCCGAGCTTGTCTTGCAAAGAAAGAAAGAAAGGTATCAACGGCCAAAGCCTTTGTGAAGATATCTGATGGTCGATGAGAGGAGGAAATGTGCAGCGAACAAACGACACCGGCAAGCAACTTTTCTCGGACCACATGGTAATCAATTTCGAGATGTTTAGTCCCCAGAGAGAAAAACACCAAAACTTTGCCGCAGAGTGCACAACCAGATAATTTCCTTATTTGTAGTTGCCATCACACGATACTCCGCCTCTGCGAATGAAAGGGAGATAGTATTTTGTTTCTTACTTTTCCAAGAAACAGGGCTATCACTGAGGAGAATTAAGAAGCCAGTTGTGGACCAACGAGAATTAAGAAGCTAGTTGTGGACCAACGACTAGAAATGCAACTAGCCCAATTTGAGTCGGAAAAGGCTGTTAATTGAAGAGGGCTTGTAGAAGAGAGAAGTATGCCTTGTCCTGGATTTTTCTTTAAATAACGTAAGAGTCGAAGTGCAGCATCTAAATGTGGCTTACGAGGGGCCTTCATAAATTGACTCAATGTATTCACAGTGAAGCATATATCCGACCTAGTAGTGGTAAGATAAATTAAGCGGCCAATTAGGTGACGATACTGAGAAAGATTATCAAGCAAAGGGCCATTCGAAGCTGTAAGCTTGAGATTTCTTTCCATTGGTGTTGTAGCAATTCTAGAACCAATGACACAAGCATCCACAAGAAGATCAACAGTATATTTGCCTTGACACAAGTATATGCCATCTTTAGAATAAGCCACTTCGATTCCAAGGAAATATTTGAGAGGGCCAAGATCCTTGATTTTGAATTTGTTGAATAAGAAGCTTTTCACTTGGGATATGAGATCCAAATTATTCCCTGTTAAGACCATGTCATCAACATATAAAAGGATATAAATAGAGGAAGAGCCACGGTGGAGAGTAAATAAAGAAAGATTTGCAACTAATTGGACAAAACCAACATCCAGTAAGGCATGAGAAAATTTTGAGAACCAGTTTCGAGAGGCCTGTTTCAAGCCATAAAGAGACCTATGTAATTTGCAAACAAGGTTACACTCCTCCTCTCTTGAATGGCCTAGCGACCAGCACATATATACTTCCTCATGGAGATCACCATGTAAAAAAGCATTTTGGACATCCAGTTAATGCAACGGCCAATTTTT